TTTTTTCTCTTTTCTCTTTCTCGTTTTTAAAATATTTATAAAAACCTTTTTTCCTACAAAATATGTAGGGATATTTTCAATTTGGATACATTCCTACATGGAATTTTCTTTAATTGGTAAATTTGTTGAAAAATAAAATTTGTCTCTAGTGTTTGTAAAACTAGATTTTTTTGGGTAGTTAAGCTAGGTTTTCTTTTAGAAGACAAAGCTAGTTTTTCTTTTGGACGTCTTGGTAGTAGCGCTTTTTTAATAACTAAATTTTTATATCTGTATTAAAATGTTTTATTCTAACTTAAATTCTTAGAGTAGGAGTATTTTTCAGCTAGATTCTTTTTCAAACTACAACTTCTTATTAATTAATCAGTAGTTTGAGTAACAACATGCCTATAGGACCATAGAAAAATCGACTCGGTTAATTAATGGTTTTACTTGGACAATTATAGTGATTTCTTGAATAATAGGGTTGTAGGCGTTTTGGTTCATGAAGATATGAAACTGGTTCTGATGGCGTGAATTGAGCATTCTCTAATAATTAAGCTATAAAGATAGGGAGATTGGCCGGATTGGGGTATATATTGAACCAATTGGATATTCATCCGATCTTTTTTCTGAGCATTACAGCTAAATAATTGAACTTAACTTAACTTGAGATTTTGATCCCAAAAAAAAAAAAAAAAAAAACTTAACTTGGGATTATGGTATATGAAATTATGAGTTTGGGTCAAGAAACTTGTAGGACATGTTCATAACTGGTTAAGGAGAATAACATGTGTATCAATTGAACAATAAAGAATATTGAATCGTTCTTTTAATGATATCTTTCGACCATCCTATTTATTTAAATATGGTTTATGTAGACGTTATAATTCAGGTTATCATGGAAATGTTGAAATTTGATCATGCATGCTTGATCCGGCTAGCCATTTCGTTGTGTGACAATTGACAAACCATTATGAAATTGACTTGTTCCTTTGTTGATTTTTTTTGTAATCGAACCTATTTAAATGCTAATTAGAATTAAATTTCCGTTTTGGATTGGGGAAATGTTTGTTAATTTGGTCTGATATTGGACTAAAGAGTTGCTTGTACTTGGTGTTTATGGCAAATGACCAGCAGAACAGGTAAAGATATAATAAGATAACGAAGTAGCTAAGTAATAAATAAAGACAAATGATACTAATGTGATGAGGATCATGATAGTATGAATCAATGAATGTATGATTTAGGTTAAGTGTCGTATGTTATGTTTTATTGATTTATGACATGCATGTTCTCATTCGAGTTTCATAGTATATTAGTATTGCGATCATAAAGAGTCGTACGTGAACACTCTACACATTAAGTAAAAGAACATGGATCAAAATAACAATAACAATGCTAAACAGGAAAATAAAGCATAACATGTACTAAAGAGTTTGACAAAAAGAAAAACATATACTAAAGAAATCACAAGCACAATGACACACAAAAATGCAATAGAAAGTAACGAGTACGTAACCTCACAAACTGGCAAATCCGTTTCTATATCCATCTCTTTTCTTTAGCTAGTCCATAACGACATTTAATAATACCTTTAACCTTTTAACTTTCATAACCACTTTGCCTGGGCCAATATAGCCTTTAAAATCACAACCTTAATAATGCAAACTACAATCAATTGTCTTTACTCTTAACTCTTAAGTCATAAGACGCGGAGAACTGAGTCCCACATGAATTATGAAATCGAGTTTAAGAAAAATTGTAATCTAGTAGTATTTCAGATTTTATATCAAGAAAACTTGGCCCAATGGCCCATTACACGGTCCATTCGACTCGATCACTGACTGTTCGACACTCTTTGGCTTATTAGCAGAACGAAGATGCCACCAACGAAATAATTAAAGGAACAAAATAACCAAGAGAAAAACAAATCACTCGTAAATCGCAAAGATTAAAAGAAATTTTGCTGATAATAATACTAAAAACGGAAATATTTTCCACAAGCCACCGGAATATTCCCAAGAAAATTAAAGGGAAAACCCAGGGCTGGAAAATGTCTCATCTCTCTTCTTGTTTGTGTCTTCTTCCATTGTAAAAAATAAAATTAAAAAACATCTTTTGGGTGGTTTTTCAGATTTCAGACTCGAAAGTTTTTGCCGGAGAAAGTCTGACCAAACTGCCACGTGGCAGGAGCAACGTTCCATGAGGTAGAAGAACGTCGGTCAGAGGCGGTGACTCGGAAAGAGAGTGATTGGCCGATGAGAACGGCGTTGGATTGCCAGTTCTGTCCCCAGTTCCGACTCATCCTCACCCAATCTGTCTTTGATCCCTTTACGCTAACTCCGTTAATATCTCCGGCGCCGGCAACGTTAGTTACCAGAACAAGATTGAAGTATCTGAATCCGTTTACTGTGAATCTTATCCCTCCTATCTTCCGACAAGGTACCCTTCAGAGGAAACAGAAATTCAGACAATTATTAACAACAAGACAAGTGAGACTGAGAGTGACAGAGAGAGGTGGATCTCTGGGTTACTGTGTCTATGTGTCCTGCTTGGTTTCCCGAAAAGATAATTGGAAATACTATATAAATAATTCGTATTTAAATTGTGTATAAAGAGAAAGAAAGAAACAAAAAATAATACTAATAATCGAGAGTGATGGTTTCAGTTTCTGAACTCTGAAACACATAGGCCGTTATCTAAAAGTGCTACAAGCCTAGAGGTAAACAAAAAACCATGTTCGGTAGTCGGTACAAGTATCTTTTAAAGTTAATTAAAGAAACAGAACCTAAAAAGAAAAAAATAGATATTGTGAAAATACTATTTTTAAAAAGAATCTTTAGATTTATAAAGGATTTTTTTTTATTTTTTTTGAATATTGGATTAAGAAATTTTTAAAACGTCAATTTCACATGAGACATGAAAGTGCTATATTCAAACTCTGTAGTTTCTAGCATATTATAACGAATAATCGAAAACTAAAGCCTCTAATTTGTTTTACACTAAAGCCTCTAATTTGTTTTACACGTAAAACATTTATCTCCCCTTCAAAATATTAATCTCCTTTAAACATAATCTAGATTTGCAAAAGTCACTATCATGAATCATCCATTAATGCATATGGTTCTTTGTGTAATTTCTTCACCGTATTATTAACAGTTAAATTCTTATTGATTTCACCAAATTATAATAGCCGACAAAACCAAAACGACGCAAAACAAAAAACAGAGAGAGACCTGCGATAGGAGACGGGGACAATGCCTGCACGGTATAGACCGATCTTGAGGAACATAGGCATGGCGAGATCAAAATGCTCGCGCGGCGGATTGCACCACCCTCCGTCGTCACTCGGCTGAGCAAAATTCGGCGGACAAAAGTTCGTCGCCGTCACAAGAATAGATGGATTTCCCGGAACACACCATCTCGGATCATCAGTACACTTAATCTCAAAACAAGCACCACAGCTGAATCCGTTGTTGAACAAAGCAGTGCTCAACGCCGCCGTGTTCACACCGTATCCTTGGCTGTACAAGTTCCCGTACCCACACGCGCCGCCTAGCAAAACCCCACGCGCCAAAAAGAAAAACAGAGAGAACAAAAAAGTTAGAAACTTCACAAAAAAGAAGAAGTCAGAAATCATAATTCATGGTATATGTACGAAATGAAATCGACAATGGTGGATTTGGTAAGGACGTAAGGTAGTGAATATTTATACCCATTGTGCCGGAGGCGTCACTGCCACCGTAGAAAGTGGCGTGTGCATTCTGCCACGGTCCGCCACTGTAAACGCCGGGGATTTTGGCGTTTGTTGCGGTTAAGAGAAAGGAAGCCGTAACGGCCAACCACAAGCCGACCCTAAACGCAGTCGCCGTCATTGAGTTAATAAGAGAGAGAGAGATGTGTATTGGATAGGGACGAGAGAAAGCGGGAAGGACTACGAGTATTTATGGGGACTGATGCTGGTTGGGTGTTTTTAACCTTCCAGTTAAAGTTTTCTGTAATTTTTCAGATTTATAGGTTTTGGTAGGTAAATTAATTGCTGCCCATCTCATTGGTTTGATTGGCTTTCACTTTCTGAGACTAAACCGAAGGTGGCAATTGTGGTTATGTGCCAAAATTAAATTAGTGCAGATAAATTAGTAAACCAAAACTGAAAAATAGATGTTGTTTTAGTTATGTTTTATCCGAAACCAAACAGCTCTCAACCCAAAAATCAATTTCGGTATTCATAGTTGAAAACCGAAAAAACCAAAAGCTCGAATTTCGTATAACCGAATCAAACCAAAATTATAAATATAATATTTTTTTTGGTAAAACAAACCAAAATTATATGCCAAACACAGTCACGTATGTTTGTCTTTCCTTTTCACGAAGTAAAAAGGTTATAGTTATTTTATTTGCCATTATCTACGCATGCACGCATGTATAAGTTTTTTTAGTCACAGAGCATGTTAAGTTGTTAACATATATAAATGTATTAAACAAACATAAAAACATGTATGAAGTTTTCCTCTATATTTTCTTGTGAACATATCTTATAAATGAACCAAACGAATCGAGCATCACATTAAGAGCATATGGTTAGACTAAGGTCGACATACAAATAAATAAATTAGTTTTGCAGCATCAGCATATGAATATTGTTTATTTATGATTTTTCTGAACAATAATAAAAGTTGTATTAAATGGATGACATTGTCACATTCTCATAGGGCCGCAAAAGTTGAATGACAAGCTTCTCGAGAGTTATCGTATATTATATGAGCATGTGGAGTGTCTGTGATATAATTGTTACACAAGGTTTATGTTCCATGTGAATTATTATAAGTTCCAAGGCTCCGAATGGCTGATTTTAGAGCAGCTTTGTTTTACTGTTTACAATAATTGAAATACATTATTCCAAACACTTCCAACTTCATATGTAGAAACTAAAAAGTAAAAAGACATATATAATTTCAACAGTTAAAAGAAATTTGTTGAACCAATAAATTTGTTTCGATCATTGTAATTGTTCAAAGAAATTTACTAGAATTTATATAACTATTCACACATAATGTATAGCAAATCATTTGCAGAAATATGGGAATAGAAAGACATGGATAGAGAAGCAAAAGAACGGTTGGACTAAAAAAATGAAAATCTTTGAATCTTTCTCTATGTAGCATTTAGTCAAATTAGAATATCACAATTTTCTCCACAAAAAATTACTAGATATATCTACTATATAAACGGTCTAATAAGTTTTGAGATCATGCTCTCTACTATGTAACAAGCCTGTGATGAATCAAGTCTTTAACCCTTACTATCCACCGGCATATGGGTGGATGTCGGTGCTGCCTTGTTTGCGTCAATGGAAACCAGAAACTCTAGAAGTCCATTTGCAATCCATGCGTTAATGTTAGTTGGTGGTCGCATGTGCGCAAATGCAATATCTTTGTAATCTACAAATGGAGGGTTGTAATATCTCAGTACGATTCAAATCTACAAAAGATGGAGATGTTGGCCGCTTAATTTGTTAGAAACAGCTAAAACGAAATGAGTAAGTTTTTTGTTTGTGTTTTTATAAAGAACTAAGCATTACAAACGTAACTAAAATAAACTAAACTAGATAAAGAAAGAAGGATGCATAAAATGACAATGAACTATTTAATTTATATTAGGGAGAAAAGTCAGCAAATATATGAATACTTGCATCCAGAGAATAGATCATAGACGAATCATACGCAAAGATTATGCGAGAGTTCGTTTGCGGTCTTGCTAAAATGTTAAGGACTTTTACATGCTTGATCTAACACTAGTTGTGGTCTAGCTATCTGTTTTTTTTTACGGTTTTTTCACGTGAGCATATAACCATCGTATTACTAAGACGCAACCAATATGAAAGTTGAAAAATGTTTGCACGAACATTACTATCTTACTCCTTTAAGCAAGCAATAAACACAAAAACGTTTTTGTATGAAACATAAATCGATAAATTTTGAATGGCACTTAGCATGGATTTTTGTTGGGTATAAAATCTGGTTTCTATTGCTACTAGACACATAGCATGGAGCATGGATTAACACAAGCAATACCCTAAAAATATGATTCTATTTTAAAGTTGGAAACGAATTTTATAGCCATTGTGCCGTTGGGGGAAGGTCGAGAGACTCTCTCATTATCTTAATCAAATG